AAACAAATAGATTTAAACAAAAATGCTGTCATTATTCCAATCAGTCTCTTAAATTATTGCTGGGATTTCCTATGCATCTTACACAGAAGGTGAAAGATTTTACTCATTTTTTTTTGTAAATTCTTTAATGGTTATTGTAACAGGCAAAAAACATAAAATTACGTAATTAGATGCAATGTGTGGACCACTGGTAGTGAATGAGGAGACGAGCTGGTAATTTGAGGATTAATTTAGGATATAAAAGATCAATAATTTCCATATTCGTAACAGCCCTATGAAGCTTTATCTTTACTGTTTCAGCATGTAGTTCTCGTGTACATGTATGTTTGTTTGTTGGGTTAATGAAAGCAACTCTGGGAGGAGTTATTGAAATAAGTAGTATGTAATTTCTACAGTTATGCTAATTATTGAAGCAATATGTCTACCTTTTAACATAATTGAAAATTCACTTGGTTTAATGTGGTTTTTAAACTGTGTTTTTTTTCCTTGTTTTCAATGTCAGTGTAAGTGTTAAATAACCCCTGGGCCCATCAGGGGCCCATACAAAAGCAAAGAAAGAAGTAAGGTAACATGCATAAAGAGTTATATTAAAATATAACCAGCAAATTCGTACTTAGAAGTTAGACCTTAGCGTGTCTGTGAAACCAGTAGTGTTCAGTTTGTTTACGAGGTATTAAGTAATGAACTCTGTGAGTCATACAATTATGGGGGCCCTTTGTACATGATTACCCCCAGGCCCAAAATAATTCTCAGCAGCCCTGCATTTTTTGAAGAAACTAAAAGTCTTATATATAAAAAAAAACATAGTTCTTGGAAGCTCCAAAAATATCTTTTATGTGGGTGTTCTAAACACCGTAACAAAGATGAAATAATCATTTGTTATGTCTTCTTATCTTTTAAAGCCACCCTGACTCTCTTTTTTCTTCTTCCTCAAATATTCTAGGCATTCCTTCCGCTGTTAACAGTGGATAAATGGTGTTTTTCATTCTTCTTATGATGTGATAGATTTAACAAGTGATGATGTTTTGAAAACCACCTTAAAAAATACTTTTACCAACACTTGTATAACCAGTAAGAAACTCTTTACGGACCATGAATATTATTTTGGTCAATAGTACTTATATATATATATGATAAATTGCCATCTTACATAAGGTACTTATCATTTATTAAAAACCAAAAAAGAATTGTATGAAAATGGAATATTAAGTGTCTTTGTACACCTGTGTCTTTAAATTAGGAGAAAATGCATTTCTACAGTCAACCTAAATTTCCTCTTGTAAAATTGTATCGAGCAGAAATTTGTCATTATATTCATTAGCACCTACATCAAAATTCATGTGGACATATTCAACAGTATACCAATACAAGGAAGTATTCATATTAGCCTTATTTATCATTCAAATAAAGAAATTATCTCTAAGTCATGGTAGACTTTTGTTATTATTATCAAGAACAGGTATTTTTTTAGCCAACTATACTATACTTTTTATACATTTATCTTAATTGGTGTTACTTTTCACTCTCTGCTATTTTTTCTAATAATAAAGTCACAAAAGTGATTGCAAGATGGCTAGCCAATTATCAGTATTATGTAATTCTTTTACCTTATGAATTCAAAACTTAGAAGCTTTTTTTAAGTGTGTAATTAAATCTAATGTTATTAGAGATTTTATTATATAGAAATTCTTACTACAGAACATTTGGATCACACCTATATTATCCTTTTTTTTCCTCATATTTTCAGTAAAACATTTTTAATTTCTTTCAAGCAATTATTATATTTTAGTTTCACTTTGTATGTAAATTTCTACCCCAGTTACAACCTGTGGTTTTGGCAACTATCACCAAGCTTCTGAATAAAGGAAGTTTTTTTTAGTTAATAAGTTAAGCAGAATCATCCAAGATCTGCTATTAAGATCGCACCAGGCTAAACTTTAACTGTCAAATGCAATATTCTTTCTCCTTTTGAATTTTTCAGAACAAGAACAAAAGTAACCACACAGACTGTTTTTCATTCCTCTTCTCTTTTGTCCTTCTCAGGTTTTATAATTAATACATATGTGTTACACAAATAAAACTGAATTATTTTCTACATCTTATATGATGCTTTTCTCTCTCTCTCTCTCTTTTTTTCATCCAATTTTTTAACCATCTTAATTGAATTTTCATTGAATCTAAAGATTAAAGCTTCTTTGTATTTAAGGTACCTGCCGTTCACTTTCATACATACCAACATCAGCAGAATATAATGTAAGCCATCATATCTTGTGTCAGTTGCAGTTTTTGCCCAGAACCTAGATAAAAAGTGTCATAATTAACTCTTCTTTATCTTTCTCCAAACCTCTATTGTTTATTGTGTTGTATGAATCATTGCTGAACACTGATACAAGTAAGGCCAAAAATAAAAGAATGGTTTCTGGTGCTAACAACTCCACTAAAACAATGAAATGACAATTTTTTTTAAACTTTTATTTTTACGAGAAAGCTAAAACAATTACATACTTCAACAATATTGTTTGTGAAACTTAGTGTAAAGTCGTTCTTTTTTGTTCTCTGGTCTATAATTGATGTTTTGAATCTAACAGAAATTGTGGACATTTTAAAGTGAAACATATGATCACTTGAAGCTTCTCCTTTTTTTAAGCCTAATAACACAATATAAAAGCAAAACAGTTGTCATTGACAACCTCTATTTAGCAGGAAGACGAGGTATGAATGTCACATCACATATTTTGTCAGTATATTTTTCTTTGTGATAATGACAAATGGTTAATGGGAACCAAAATATATAACCCTCAGAGGTGGCTGGACCTTACTAAGCTTCACATGCTGTGATTTCAATGTTATATTTGGCTTATTTGCTCCTTTCTAAACTCCTTGTATGTTTTGTTGAAATCATTTCCAGCATTTACCAAATACTTTTAGATTAGGTAAAGCTGTGAATAATCAGAAGTGATGTAGTTTAAATGCCAAGTATTTTTCTTATAAAATCCTCGCCCTGCACAGTTAGATGTATTGTTTCATTATTAAATGTATAATATGCATTTGCAGTGTAAGAATTGTGAGATATTTTTTCCAGTTCACCAGTCATATCTTGCGAATAACAACAATTCATGTCGCACGTAATTATCATTTCAACACATCAGTTTCTTTCATTGGCCCATGATGGGAAATTACTTACATAATTGAAAGTTCCCATTCATTGTTAAAGAGGAAAATAAAAGCCTTGCAGATCATAGTTTAAATATTAATTTTATTTGTGTTCTAACTTTATCTTTATAGTAATAATAATAACTTTAAGACTCTCATCATTAAACAATCTACAAAAGAGAGCAGACAAATTAGCATAGAACTATTTCATTTTGTATAATAATAATATATAGAATAAAGTTAAACCAAAAAATGACTTTAAAAATGTCCTTTAATAATTTAACTACATAAAATAAATTACTAAATTTTAATGTTTCATACTAAACATAGAGCTTATAAAACCTTTTATTTTAAACCAGAAGATGCATTTGTAAAACAAATACTTTATTTTAAGGTGAAAGTGGTCAAATTTTCATACATGTGGACAATCAATAACTTCAGTTTCTGTAGAGAAGAAATGGGAGAAGTCCTGAAAAGTTCCACATTCTCTGCTGGAGCAAATGACAAAC